ACAGTCTCAAAAAAAATTTGTTTAAGCATTTCATCAATATTAATTTATCTTTACATTTATTCTCCTTTTCTTCTTTTTCTTCTTCCTTTCTTATCATTTTTCTCCTGTTCTTTTTCTTTCACTATTTTCATCTCATTAACCATATTCAAAATTTATTTTCTCCTCACTTCTTTTTGCTTTTTCTATTTCTCTTATTTTCTTCATTCAACTTCCCAGTTTTTCTTTGTTTTTCCCTACAATTCTCTTTCTTCTTAAAACTATTCCTACGATTTTACCAACGAAGCAATGAAACGAAAGTCTGGATAACAACTCTTCACCTGAATTAAGTTAACTGTTTCTGAAGCTAAGGATATAGGTAATAGTTAACTTCTACAATATACCAATGTCAGAAGTCTGTAACTGAATATAACTAACCTTGGTTGTAACAGTTATAGAATTAGTTATTATTTAAAGATGTCTAGACACTTTTTTTATTTGAGAAAAAGAAATTTCGAAAAACATTGGAAATTCCAGAAAATATTGGTCATTCCGGAAAACTTTGGAAATACCGGAAAACATTGCAAATTCTGGAAAACTTTAAAATCCACTGAAATAAGATACTCGTTTTCCTGGAATTTTCAAGATATTGCTGATATATCAGAATAAGAAAGCAAAATTGATGGAAATTTTCCAAATAGAGGAAATATTGGTTAAGCCTATTCTGACAGATTTCCATATCTTCGTCAATTTTAAAAAATGCTAATGTTTATAATTATCTTAATCTTTATAGGTAACATGAATAGGTAACATAAATAGGTAACATTGCTGTTCTGGCTTGGAGAAAAAATATATATAAAGATCGTTGTAACCTATTGAAAAATTCTCATCTGATTTTCGTTCATGGTTTCCATTTTATTCCGTATTTTTGGCTTGCAATATATTTTCTGATTAAGTTTAAATTGCTGCTCGTATTTTTCTTTTTCGACACATTCCTTAATCTCCGTTTTTTATTGTTTTATCTTCGTATTATCTGAGTAAAGTCGATTTATTCTGCTTAACTCGTATTCTTATCACTTCACTCCTTGTATGCATTCTTTGTGTAATTCTCAGGTTGCTTCGATTTATTTAAATCAATATTTTATCAGATAATTAAAAAAATAAGCCATCTTCTTTGTTTTGTCTTTTTATTACGTCGTCATCACCTCTTTCTGCTTCATTTTATTTTTCTAATTTTTCTTTTCTGAAAATTGCTTTTTCCTCTTATTTTCTATATCTCATAACATTATCTCATGCCAACTCTCTCTCTCTCTCTCTCTCTCTCTCTCTCTCTCTCTCACTGTGCGTTAGCTATCTTCCCAGTATTTTTTCCTAATTATTTTTTAGCCAATCACATTCTGGAACACATTGAATTTCATCAGGACTCACCATTCACAAGATTAATACAACGTTCTGATTAGTGGAGATGTTTGTTAGTATAATGTTGAATTATACTAATGTATAATAGTCTGATATCAATGTAGCGGACAATATCCAATATCGAAGGGCTTCTATATATTTTAATTTACCTCCACATTTACCTTCTTATTGTCTTTACAACTCTTCGACATCTCAAAAAATGTTCGTAGAAAAGAAATATTATAATTTATATTACAATGAATAAATGCCTCCGCTTTAAATATCTAAAGTCATTTATTTTATCATTATTTTTATTGTTATTTTAACAAGAGTCAAAACTTAGTAACAACTCAATAAAAACGCGAAGTTTGTTTCTTTCTTTCTTTACATGAATATTTTTCAATGCTTACCTGAGAATAATTTAACCGCCAATTGTTTGAACAGGAAAAACTGAGATTGTTTTTTGCAAATATTCAGTTACCTTTGCATTATTACAACCAACACCGTCAACTTTTTTTAATTGAATTTTATCGGTTCATTCTTCGTGGGATGAATTTGTTAGCTAATTCATAGCCTTCTGGATTCTGCTTTGAAAATTTCTATAAATAATTTTGATGATGTTGAATATACGCGATAACCTGTTTTTTTTTTTTTTTTGCTTTACGTATGTTTTTTGCTGTTTTTCATTTTTGTTATATTTATTTATTTTTATTTTTTATTTGATTGCTGCTGAGTTAACGTTCATTACAGTTGTTCATGCTACCACAGCTTTATTAGGATTATTAATCATGAAAGCGGATAAGTCTTCTTTTGTAAAGATTGTACTTCTTTTGTACTCTAAAGAATATAATTCTACTTCTTTCTTTCTCAATTCCGAAACCTCTTCCATGGACAATACTGAATTACGGAATGCCAGGTTGTTCACTTTTTCTCATTTATTATAATATCATTTCGTAGGCACTGGTCCACATCCTCGAAAATAAAACAAGTTATTAATAAATTATGTATATTTGTACCAGCACTTCTATTATTGAAACATTGCGACAAAAAAAGGAAAGCTGTGCTGGATTGGCAATGTATCAACGATGGAAGAGCATCGACTTCCGAAATCTTCACTATTCGAATAGCTGAACGGAATGGGTACCGAGTCTCTTTAAAAGGGACGTTTGTCTCCTACAATACTAACCACTACATAAAGGAATCTAATCATAGCCTTTCTTATAAAAACAAATTTTACAGGCAACCAACCTCACTGATTAAGTCCACGGAGAAGAGTAGGTGCCATAAACTTCAAGTCACAAATCCCACTCCTGCACAAGCTTCAGAAAAATACATGTTTTAGGTGGTTAGTCAGACGTGGAAGCCCTTGTTTGTGAGGTAATGTCTCATGAAACAGAGAATTTGCATCTTATTGCATCTACGGTCGGAAAAAAATGATTAAATTAAAAAATCTTTAAAACATTTAACTTCCTGTCCGGCACGAAGCTGTTTGTAAGTTTGAAGACCAAAATACTTTCGGCAATCTTTTTATTCTAGGATTTTTCCCTTACTTTAAATCATTCCTAACGTCCTATCTAAAGACGTTATGTATGAAGCATTTACTAAAACGTGCTATGTTTTTATGTTACCATTTTGTGTGCTAAATGGCTAAAACAAGCTTGGTGGTAAAATCGCTAACGGCAATGAGGAAAAAGCGATAAAAGCTAGAGAAGTGAAATCCATGTCAATAGCCGAAGTAGCATGGAAGTGTGGGAAAACGACTTTATTATTGTTGTCATAAAATAAAGAAAAATCTGAGAAGTGTTATAAGAATTGCCGGTAAAGACTGAGAAAACATTAAATGTGTCGCTAAAGAACATATTACAGAAGTGTGTGTCTGTTAGCAGAAATGTTCTACGTGAAAAGTGCTTAACTTATATGAACGCTAGAGTAAGGGAATGTGATGAGTAATAAGAAAGATTTTACAGCGAACAAGAATGACCTTATAGAATTAGAAAGCTTTACACTCATAAAATCCTTAAGATAACGGAATTATGACATTGAAACATTACAGTAGAACAGAAAAAACCAGAAGCAAGAAAAAAACTTGAAAAGAAGAAGCTAAAAAACTGGGAAGAAAAGTAACTGCATGGACCCTTTAAGAGACAAAGAGACTCTTGTGATATGACGTTAACCTGCTTATGCAAAGGATGTCTGAAGTGAATAACTGAATCTCTATTAAATATGACTCATAACATTTGTATATTAAGGTCGAGATAGAATACAACAGAATAATAAACGCAGATTGCGAGGATATGCACATGAAAATGATATACAAATGCGGTAAAATCATTGAGCTAAAATTAAGCATAAAGAATATGATTGACATGAAAACAACTAGGATCTAATCACAAAAACACAATGGTTCTTTCAAAACCTAAAATCTGTCTTAAAAATAAAAATATGAAATCAATTAAAATTGAAAAACACCATTTAATCAGTGACCAGAAAAATAGACCCAGTCATTTTGAACAGAGGAAAAAAAAATCATCAGATTCTGAATGACGCTGTTTCAGAAGAACACGGAGAAAAATTGAAAAACAAAACCCAAATACCTGAACTTGTTAGAAAAAATGGAAACATCGTGAAATATGAAGATGATGATAATTGGTTTGCATTGTGAAATCAGGAAAAGCCTTAGAAGGAGGCTGGAAGATACCAAAGGCAGAGTGGAAATCATTTACTAAAATCAATGAAGCTACTGAGGAGAGTGATGCAGATACTTGATTTCATGTTGTGAAAACTCAACCAATACAAAATAAATTATAACAAACGTGATGTTGTTAACTGGAGACTTGTTCTCCTAAATTATTAGGAATAGCTGCCAACCAACTACATCGATGCCAAAAAGAAATATTAATATTTTACAGAAAAACCTTTTGATTTAGTAATGAAAAAATATTTTTTCCCTCCATATTTATGATGAATTCACTGGCCAACTTTTAGCTCAGTAACATTCGATATCAAGAAAAAATATTTTATTTATAATCATTACAGCCGTTTATTTTCAGCGCATAACAAAAAATCAAACAGCCCGTCAGGTTTTAAGTGACGAAATATGGAGAAAAAAAAAACAGAAATAAATTTTGTTTCCTGGGCTTACAAAAAATAAAAATAAACAAATGAAAGAAATGAAGTATTTTACGACATTTATTGAAAGCGCAGATCGTCATTCAAGGCATTTTTAAGAGTTGGCTTCTGTGTTACTATGAGTTATTATGTGCATGGATAGTTTTATTTGAGTTTCTATATTTGTAGGTGTATATAATAGAATATAAGCAACTTGAATAATACATTTATGAAAGTTAATCAAAATTCATTGATTTTTTTTACTTTCTTTGATTGTCGATTGATTCGTTTTCTACAGCTTATCAACACTGTGCAGGTTATTTAAAGCCATAGCTTAGATTGTTAAAATGCTTTGTTGGTGATACAAGTCTTACTAAGTAATCCATAGCTGGTGAGAAGAGGTTGATTCATACCTATCCTAAGCATATTTACGCGTAAGGGTATATAACGAACGAAACAGAGAAACTCGACTCTTCGATTTAAAGCTCCAAGGACATCACACCATTCGCACATCCAAGCATACAGTACCTGATATTCCCAAGCGGTCACCCTTCGTGCTACTAACCAGGCTCGACGTTGCTTAACTTTGGTGATTGTATGGGAACCGGTGTTTCAACTTGATGTGGCCGTAGGCCTTTTTTACTTTGTGTACAAAGTAAAAAAGAAGTCAAAAAACTGGGAAGAAAACTGGAAATATATATATCGCTATATTCATAAAGATATTTATAGTATTAAAGTATATTTTTTTATGGAGCACTGTCTCTGTGTGTGTGTGTGTGTGTGTGTGTGTGTGTGTGTGTGTGTGTGTGTGTGTGTGTGTGTGTGTGTGTGTGTGTGTGCAAAGGAAAAAAGTAAAATTCTTGGGTACAATGCTTCAAATTCTCCTGCTTATGGGTTTTTCTAATGGCATGTCTGTTCAAGATGTAAATCATGACTCTCCATGAATTCCTTTCCTTTTTTTTTTTTTTTTTTTTTTTTTTCTGTGAATTGTCATCGCTTCTTGGGAAAAATTGTGAAGTAATCTCCTGTAGCTTTCTACGTAATTTGAAATACAGAGTTTTCCTTCTGTTAAATTGGTTGCCGCTCAAAGCTAGAGAACCTATTGTATCCTGCTTAAATAGCTAGAGTGGGGAGATAGGAATTCATACCTTACTCTAGATCATCAGTGCGAAAGTGGATGCAACAGTGTAGGTTGAAATTTGAAATCTAATTGTCGATTCTACTTTGCGCTCTGTCACAATCTCGAGCCCCGTAAGTCGTAGGGGGGGCGCCACGTGTAGTGCAGATGCAACAGAAGAGGCCAACCCTTTCCAGGCTGGTTTGAATACCGAGTTTTTCGTCTGATAAACCGATTGCCACTCAAAGCTAGAAAAAAACAGTCTTCCCTACTATTTACCTATAGAGATGGATTCATACCTTTCCCAAGGCTATTAGCGCGTAAATGAATGTAATGATTTCGAACTCGGTTCTCCTCAATCTGAGTCGCAATCCATTACTCTACCGCACCTCCACCGTAACTGTCCTCTTCACTATTTCGGACACTGCAGTTATAAATATGTGGAAGTATTTACACTTTTCACACTAGTTTATATTGTTTCCTATGCTACCTCGACACATTCTCCGTATTCTTTTCACTTCCTGTTTTTTCTTATAGAATTTTTATACTCTTTATTACGAACAGATATATTACTCTCTCTCTCTCTCTCTCTCTCTCTCTCTCTCTCTTTATCTATATATATATATCTATCTTTCGTTCCCTTTTCTCTCTTTCGTATGACTTTCTACATTGTTCACATACTCTTTTTTTCGACAAAATATATATGCATATGGCAAAAGATGAATGTAAACGTTTATAAATAAAAAGACTCTGAGACATGTCATAAAAATCTTGTAAATCATGTCTCCTCTGCACAGCATCTCTACATCAGGACAAGCGGCTTTCCGAACGTACCTCACGATATACAGTGCTGATAGCAGACACGAAATGGAAACTACAAAACCTTCTACAGAACGTAGCGAAGGAGAGCGAGAATAAGGGACTAAGTATAAACTAGAAGAAGACAGATGAGGCCGAAATGCGGTTTACAGGTGGGAGCCACTAAAACCAAGTAGATGCGGAAATTTAAATATCTGGGAAGTATTCTGACAGTGAAACTCTTAGATCCAAAGACGTACTGGGATGGCCAAAGACGCATTCCAAAAGCTAGACAGGGTATTAAGAGACAGGAGTAACAAAGATAAGAATACTGAATTACTATGTGATATTTGTCCTCCTTTACGGCAGCGAATGTTGGACGGTCTCCTAAAAAATGAAGAAGAGATTCGAGAAAACAGAGGTACAGCTCTCCGGAAGGATGCTAAGGATACCATGTACCGACCATGTGAGCAACGATGAGGTTTTGGAAAGGATACAAACAAAGAGGAAACATATATTTAAGATCAGGAAAAGGCAGCTGAAATTTCTGGAAAATCTGATACTCACAGGGCGAACAGAGGGTGAGAGAGACAAGGAAAAGCAACGCAGGACATACCTAGCGGGCTCAAGTAAGTGGATGACAGAACAGGGTCTGGGAGAAGTAGCAGAAAGACAAAACTTATTGAGAACTACACGGGATAGGAGGAAGTGAAGAGCCTTGATCACCTACGTCCTGAAGGGACACGGCACATAAAAGAAGATATTGCGACTAATGGTTAAAAAGCGGCTCTTAACTTACTCGATCTTTCATCCTGTTCACGAGTTGAATTCCCTAACTTCCTATCAGAAATAGATCATAAAAGCCTTCGTTTATTTATTTGCTTAACTGCCTCCTTCCTTTTTGTGACTGCATTAAAGCGCTGCTTTTTAGATTTTACTGCTGGTTATAAAAACAACAAATAAAATAATTTAGAACTCATTTGACTTCGTTGGTGTTCTAATTCAATCGGAGTCTCATTATGTCACAGCAGAATGTTAAGTGTAAGTCTTTTATTCGATTCATCAAAACATTGGGTTTACGGCCGTATCACATTGAAACACCGGTTTTCGTACGATTTATGTCAAATGAGTTATGTGAAAGCAAAACATTGAAGGTAACGGTGTAATCAGCACCGGAACTCTCTGTGGGGTATGTGTAGCGCCCGGCAGTCTTGGAGTCAGAGCAGACTGACTCCAGCGGCGTGTTATTCTACAACAGACCTTACTCAAAAGCGCGAAAATAGTACTGAACATATTTTGAGGAAAGAGCTGTTTGTCAGTGGGGCTTTTTGTGACTTGACAGATAACTTAATGTACCCGGTGTATTAAAAGACCTACACCCTCTGAAAAAACAATAATAATAACAATAAAAGTAATTAGCTATCCAATCTTGACACGCTAAAAGAATACAAATAGCGACATGGTAAGTTTATCCAGTATATTAATCGAAGAGTGGCCAACATGACTAATGATAGTAGGAACATAATTCTTAAACAGTCATCGGAAGACAAGATATTATAAGGTCAATATTATTACCATTCGTATTGGCAGACATAAAAAAATAACAGACCAGACATTTTAATTAAAGACTAAAAGCCAAAATATTTGCCTTCCCAAAGATATAGCACTACCATCAGATAAAACTATATCTATTACACAATACGACAAATAAGAAAATATACAGATCTTGAAAGGTGGCATCTTAATACTACAGTTATACCTGAAATGCATATATTCATTTTAACTCCTTTTAGATTTAGAAGAAGGTTTTATACTTGCTGTACATGACCAATGCTTGCTAATTAGAAATTACCAAGCACACATACTGAAAAATTGTGTTGGCCCAAAATGCAGATTATGTTATAAATATCCAGAAACAATTGACAATCTTGTATCAGGTTGCGCGGTACTGATATCCACTGAATATAAAACACGGCATGACAGAGTGGGGCTCATATCTGCAATGGAAAATATGCAATGTTTACGGAAAGGAAACTACAAAAAATATGAACACCACCCAAACCAGGTTACGGAGATAGGACATGAAATAATTTTATGGGACTTTACAATACACACAGACAGAACAAAGCTAAATTGCTCTGACATCGTGATTAGAGTCGCTGCACACTGCAATGTATCTTTGAAGATCTTCAAAAAATCTATTAGAATACAACGACCTTGAAATCTAAATCTCAAAAATGTGGCGCATGAGAACATTTGTTGTTGGAGCCCTCGAATTGATTAAAGGATTTCAATGGACTCATTGAAGGAATCCCTGGTAACCCATGCCTTAAAGAAATACAAAAAATTGTACTCACAAGTACAGCCTACAGCTTTATCTATATAAAATATGTACGATTTGTTTTCTTATAACTGCTCAGTGGTAAATGTCAAAATATCATTTCTGATCTTAGGTCTCTGGTGGGGGACCCGAAAAGAAATGAGTATACACTAGAAACCAAAGGAAATAAAATACTAATTATTATAATTATAATTATAAATGTCACGATGCAATATCAGACATGATAATGTGTATATGTTTTGCTTTATTGAATTAAGATGTGCTACAGTAAATATCCCGTTCAGAACTAGAGATATGTTTATCTATTACCAAATTACCAAACCCTAACCAGTTGGGCATATCATCCTATAAGACATGCCCAACAGTGCATCTGTCTCTGTTCATGAGCGAGAGTAGTGTTGAAGCATCACGGCTGGATGTTTTATTTTATAAAGTTTGAAGAATGAACCAACCGAAGGAACCTGGAAGTTACATATAAATGCTAGGGATCACCTTCAGTTGGAGACTGTCTGTATGGACTAGTTGACTCGGTCGGAAGATATTTTTAACTGGGCCCTGCCCGTAATGTTATACGCTGATTTTATCAAAACCTGTCATCATATCACGCACATTTAGCTGTGATGCATGACATTGGTATACCCTTATCAGCCTGAGTGCTATGATTTATATATTGAGATTTTTAAATTATTGACAGGCTAATCTCTTACAACAACAATAATAATAATAATCCAATTTCCATATCCCTATGTTACCTTCCTGAATGCAGTGCTAGATGATGAACTCTTCCACAAGGTTAGAACGAGCTCTTTAGTCTTGGTCGACAGTCATCCTAGATCAGATAAAACTAAATATAAGACAGAATACAACAACCCATCAATCAAACAATAAAGGGGTGAAACCGGAAATAAATAATATGACAAAGGATGAGGTAAAAACTAAAATAAATGATATACGAAATAATAATCTCTCAGGGAATAAAACTTAAGAATCTACCTGCGACATACAGTTATCCAGATTATATCAGTGAATATAACTCAAGCAAAATTCGGGCAGAATTCTTTGAAAATAACAGAGGTGTAATCACCGAATCGAAAGACCATATCATTCAAATACTCAGCAAACTAACTCGAACACAAATGTCTGACAGAGACCGGCTCCCAAAAAATCATATGACAAAGTCCAATAAACATATTGTGCAAATATACAATACTGCACTGCAAACACTCTTAACATAGAAACCACTGGGAAACATCACAAGAGTAAATAATGTCATATACGCCACAGCTTTAGCAGCCACTGGGAAGCTTCAAGACAATGAAAATATCAAACAACAGAGAAAAAGAGTCAGTTTTGAAGGAAAAGCTGAAGCGAGAAAT